ATTTTCTAGATCTTCTTATCAGGCTGGTAAGTGCTGACGAGTAATGTTTAGACTGTTCTCTAGTTATTTGACCCATTCTATACTGTTTTTCATATTTGTGCTTTGTGTTAATGGATTTGAGGATGCTTGGTGTTAGCCAGGATTATTCAGTCTCTCTGCTGTGATCTGTTTAGTTTTTTTGGGGGGCAATGTTTGTTATAGAGGCTTTGGGCCTCTATAACAGATCAGATCAGTTAAATATTTCACTGCAATACATTCAAAGCATCCTTTACAAGGCAGCACGTGATGACCTCTGTGTTGCATTAAAAAAATCTAAGAATGTCCGACTGAGCCATATAAGGGTTTAATTCTGATTTTACAGGGGTAGTATTTGACTGCTAATATCTCCATCATAATACTGTTTTAGAATCATTCTCTGTGAGTAGTTATTGCATATTTTAAGGTTTCCAGTAACTATAAAATGTAAGAACAAAGTGCTGCATATAGTAATTACTCTGATATTTGGCACAAACAAGTTACATGACTGTTTATACTGTAATTCAATAACACTTGTACAGCATGTGGTGAGTAGCTCCACCCAGGGTACTCATACTGACGCATCAGATGAATACACTGATAATGACATATTTAGCAGTGTTACACTCAAGGGGTGAAATTCTACTCAGTTTTTCAAATATTACACTGGCCACAAGTGCATGCATGATCGCCCACAAATATTGCATAATCTTGGATCTTCTATAACTTAAAAAACAAAAAGTATGTCAGACAAAAAAATAACTTTTATGGACCATATCGTGCACTTTAACACTACACAATTTTCTCATTTGCTGAACACCATTAAATGTAAAATGTTACTATCTATATTTTGGGTAAATTTTGTGTTAAGTAAAGGACATCCAATGGTGGGAAAAAGTCTACAGCAGCTATTGTAATGTATAAGCTCCGACCTACTCCCGGGTAGACAAAATTCTCTCATGGGATGCAAATTTATAAAATACCCAAAAGTAAAGAAAAACCCCACACATTAATACAGTACTTTTTTGAGATACAAAAGATCATAGACCATTTAGTAAGTCTGTTATCTAACAAATGAAACATTACATATCATACGTATACGTATTGTCATTTAATGCCAGAACTGATATTTCCAAGTTTATTCCCACCAAAATAAATTGATTTAATTTAATTATCATATATAAGAGCAGGGTTATTTTCCATGGTTCTTGAAGGAGAAAGTTATAACTTTCTTGTTGAAGTTAAGCTAGGCAAGTTATATGACACTTGTATGGTTCCGGTATCCCTGAACGAGATATTGTCAGGTTTCTCGGCCTTCTGTTTGATCGACGAATGTCCTGGAAACCTCACATTACCTCCCTGAAAGCGATTTGCCACAGCCATCTGAACCTCCTTAAAATCCTTGCCCATCTTTCTTGAGAGGCTGATAGACGAACTCCTCTTCATCTTCATTTTGCCCTAATCTTATTGAAACTGGATTATAATAAAGTTGGTAGAATTACCGACAATATGTAAAGTAAAAGGACACAAGTGCAACTAATGTGACATTTTATTGTGGCAACGTTTCGCTCTCCAGGAGCTTTATCAAGCCATTACAAACCCTCTGTGTCCATGTATTGTTTGTAATGGCTTGATAAAGCTCCTGGAGAGCGAAACGTTGCCACAATAAAATGTCACATTAGTTGCACTTGTGTCCTTTTACTTTACAAACTGGATTATGGTGACCAGCTACATTCTGCGGCCTCTCCCTCAAATCTCTTTAACCCTTTCAGGGTCCGTCCCGTAGATCTATGGCTTTACGTTCAGGGTCCAAACCGTAGATCTACGCCATGAGCTCAGCTCACTCTGATAAACTGTGAGTGGTACATTTGGGCCTAGATATGAGAGAATACATCTATGTGGTATGTGTGCACCACATAAAACAGATCCTGCAGCACACTGTGTATAATGAGAGAAAAAAACTTAAATCATGATTTTTCGATTAAAACAGCGACTTTGCAGTGTTTTTTTGTATGTTTTTTATAGTTGTATTTGCGATTTCTTGGTCTCATTTGATAGAATGGAAGACATATTACAGAAATAGAGATGATTTTGATTGGTGTTAGCACTGGAAATGGCTTGAAACTGAGCTCAAAGTAGCGGAAATGTTAAATTTTTGCCGATATTCAAGAGTAAACAAACGACCTCACACGTCTAATACACGTCAGCTGGTGGGTCTAATATACATTCACAAATATGGTGATGATATTTATACAATTATTACAGTATTGCTAACAGTAAATCTTCTATTTTTTTGGTGTGAATAAAAATTCATTATTGTGAATAAAAATCAAATGGAATTTATTTGTAAAGGCCTCAAAACATGACTAATGAACAGAGGAAATGTTAGTTTAGTGCCAGGAATGCCTACATTGTTTATTCTGGACCCTATGTTGAAACTGGAATATTTTGAACTTTGTGTTAAATTGGCCAAATTAACAATTTCCGATCACTTTATTTTGTAGTTGAAACAGTTGACTTGGCGATTTCTTGCGCTCAATCGATAGAATAGAAGTAATACTAGTGAAATAGCTAAGAATTTGGTTGATTGGAATAATGTAATTGGCCTAAAATGGGAGTCAAAGTCGGCAAAATCGCCGATTCGTAAATGTCGCTGACACATCAAAATTTGCGAGAGCATAATTTCGTCAATTTTCCACCAAATTTTGTACTTTTTGTTTTATTACCTTCACAAAAAGATTCTCTACGATTTCATAAGAAAAAATAACAAATTTTTTTTTTGAAAATTCTTGGACACTGGTGCGTGACTCCAGATTTGGGCCTTGGACCCTGAAAGGGTTAAGCATGATCCCATTCGTAATCACGGACTGCATTTGTGTCTAGGTATTTTTCGTTCCTTTCTGGTCGAGAGCCAATTTGTAGAAGTGACTGTTCCATCTTTGCACAAACGGTATGACACCCATTGTCTCCGTTATTTTGTCCGCTCTCATGACCTCCATGATTTTTCTACATACAGGATGGTAACAGAAGTTAAGAGAGGTCTTTATATGATTGCCACCCCTGTTTACTCCATCCTTTTTCACTTCATATTCACTCTCTCTCTCTGGGCTTCTCTTCATTTACCCCCTTTATATGTCCATTCGGCATTTAGATTTTCTTTTTACCTTGGGAAGTTCCAGTGATTCATGCCTGTTCTTCCCAATTTCCATGAGCCATAGCTCAATTACCTACTCTAGCTTCTTGCTCCCTTTTTGTTTATCACTTCAGATTTCATGTTGTCGCAGTTTCCTCTAATGGTGTCGGGTTTGAGAGGTTTTTCCTGACAAAGTTGTATAAGGTCATTTATTAGACTCGGCTAGTATTTTTGAGATGAGCAATATGAAATTCTCATCACTGTTATACATACTGTATCACTGCTTACCTCAGCATTCGTAGTAATTACAGATTCTTTTAGTGCTTTATAGGCTATCCAAAAATTTGATTCTCCTCATCCCCTCATTCTTCTCATACAACTTTCATTCCCCCACATATCTAGTAAAAACAAAAATGAGCAGACAGACTCTGCTGTGCAGTCTGCTGTTCATGACTTCATTTTGTATAGGGGTATCCCATTCTCAGACTGTTTTGCAGTAATCTCTAGACAACTTTGCAACTGTTGGCAATAATGGTGGTTCGAGTTGATCCATAACATTATGTCAAACATTAAGTCACTTGATCCATAACATTATGTCAAACTTTGTTTGGGTTTCTGGTCTTCTTATCGTTTTTGTGCTTGGGAGACTATACTCTCACGTCTTCATATCACATACACAGGTCTTAATCAGGGGCATCATGGAGAAGTGCCCAGTGCCACTTTGTGAGAAGTATCAAGTTCTGTTGTCATTTTGCTGTCTACTAATAGACTGTCCTGTCTACCAGCAGACACGCATAATTTACCTCCGATGTCATCACCATCCTATCGCACTTTATCTAACCTCACTGACGTAGACTCCCTCTTTGACTTTTTGTCGGCATTAGGTTTATTACACAAACTTTGATTATATTTTCCTCTTTAGCACTCCCCACTACCCTTAACCCCTCACTGGTCTCTGATCTTCGCATATTTCATCTTTATCACATCCTGCCCTGCATCGCTGTATGACCTTTGTGGGTTTAGCACTTAGTTTTCATATTAATAATAATAATAATAGGCAAGTTACAGTCATTTGAAAAATATAAACATATTCTAGTCATTATCGAAAGAATATATCAGAGATCTTCAATGACAAATGCTATACAGAATTAGCTATGATTAGTGCACATGGTGAATTAATTAATCACAAAGAAAAAGCACATTCACCATCACACAATCATTTTAATTACATGCAATATATTACATATGTCCTAGGTAGTAGATTGGTAGACAGCAACCGCCCAGGGAGGCACTACCATCCTGCCAAGTGAGTGTAAAACGGAAACCTGTAGTTGTTTTACATGATGGTAGGATTGCTGGTGTCCATTTTTCTGTCTCATAAACATGCAAGGTTTCAGGTATGTCTTGCTACTTCTACTTACACTTAGGTCACACTACACATACATGTACAAGCATATATATACACACCCCTCTGGGTTTTCTTCAATTTTTCTTATTAGTTCTTGTTCTTATTTATTTCCTCTTACCTCCATGGGGAAGTGGAACAGAATTCTTCTTCCGTAAGCCATGCATGTCATAAGAGGCGACTAAAATGCCGGGAGCAAGGGGCTAGTAACCCCTTCTCCTGTATATATTACTAAATTTAAAAGGAGAAACTTTCGTTTTTCCTTTAGGGCCACCCCGCCTCGGTGGGATATGGCCGGTTTGTTGAAAGAAGAAAGATATTACATATGTATAATGAAAATTAAAAAATGATTTGCATGATGTAATAATGATTATTCTATTTAAAGCAACACAGCTTCAACTAACTGTTCATTTTATACAAGTTATATAAAAGAAAAACTGAACTTACCGTGCTGACAGAAAATTCTGGCTGATAATAATCATATACTTTCACAGTTCCAGGTTTTACATCTTGCACCTCAATTTCCCTTATTATCCGGAAGCTCAAACAAATGTCTTCTGGGGAGAATTCGTCAATGTAAAAAGTGACTGTACTCCCATCAACTTCATATCGTTTGAAGAGGCCTGTGCCATAACCCACAATCTGCTTAAGATCTGCTTTTTCAGGAATGTAGCCAGAAATTAAATCGACCTCTATGACAGCCATGTTGGATTTCTTATCTGGAAGCTGGTACGATGCACAAATCTTGATTCTCTTCGTCACACACTTCTTATCAGGTGCCGTTTCTGTAGTGACACTGAGCCTAAATGCTTCACTTGGGCTGGACTCAGGAACATTGTACCTCAAAACAGCCTGGGGTAAAATGTTAATATCAAGATGATACTACGAGGAAATATAATTAATCTTTTCAGTTCACAAAAAAACCATTATCAAGCCAAGACTGGACCATTATCAAGCCAAGACTGTTAAAACTTAGTGAGAAAGGGTAAGAAAATAGTAGTAGAAATTGTATTAGTAGAAATAAGAGCATTATTAATAGTAGTATAAATAATTGTAGAAAGAGTAGTAGTGACTGATCAGTAGAAACGTCAGTTGTAGAAACTGCAGTGGTTGTAAATTGGATAAATTATATTTCATTAGGCTGGAGAATGTATAATATTCGCAAGGACAGCGGTTCTGACACGGGTCCTAGTCTTGCGATGAACTGTCTCTGGCTTCCAAAGGAGAGAGAGTTCTTAAATGTTGCAGTATATGCTGCTTAGGCAATGTTCTGGTGCGTCTCTTCAACGAGAACGTTATCTGTAAGTCTTTGTGTTCTTAGCAGGAATACTGTTTCATATGCATGCCCTTGCAGGGTACATATGCACGTGTATATGTATATTCATGGTATATACATATGCATATTCACAAGCATGTATGCATACTTTCACTCACACATTCTTGCATGCACACATACACTTAATGAACATGCTAGAGTGTTCTGTTATTATGTTCTGTTATTATTATTATATGGTATGCCTCTTAAAAAAAAAAAAAAAAAAAAAAAAAAAGACACTGGCTATCTTTAATTCTTTGGGTTCCTGGCAGGAACACTGTTTCACATACAGTGGACCCTCAACCAACGATATTAATCCGTTCCAGAGAGCTTGTCCTTAGCCAAATTTATTGTTAGCCGAATTAATTTTCCCAATAAGAAATACTAATGGGAATCCAATTAATCCGTTCCAGACATCCAAAATTATGAATTTTTTTTCTCACAGGAAATATACATTTTCCTACACAGAAAAACAAGGATACATGCACAATAAATACTGTACTAAATGAAGAATAAGTGACACTTACCTTTATTGAAGATGTAGTGATAAGTGATGAGATGGGAGGAGGGGAGATGGAGGTGTATTATTGTTTGGAAGGGGAATCCCCTTCCATAAGGACTTTAGGTACCAAGTCCTTTTCCAGAGTTACTTTCCTTCTTTTTTTAATGACACTGGGAACAACTTGAGAGTCACTGGACCTCTGTCGCACCAAAAATCTGTCCACAGAGCTCTGTACCTTGCGTTCCTTTAAGATTTTCCTAAAATGGGCCACAAATTGTCATTGTAAAAGTCACCAGCATGGCTTGCAATAGCTGTATCAGGGTGATTTTCATCCATAAAGGTTTGCACCTTTGTCTACATTGTACAAATTTCCTCAATCCTTGAAGAAGGCAACTTCCTCCATCTCTCTCTTCCCTCCTCTGAAGCAATTTCCTCAGTTGTGGTCTCTTGCTGTTGCAGATGCTCTTGCAGCTCATCATTGGTTAGTTCTTCATTGTCGTCCTCCACCAACTCTTCCACATCCTCCCCGCTAACCTCCAACCCCAAGGACTTCCCCAATGCCACAATAGATTCCACAACTGGCATAGGCTCCTCAGGGTTATCCCCAAACCCTTCAAAATCCCTCTCTTGTACACATTGTGGCCCCAATTTCCTCCAAACAGAGTTCAAGGTCCTGTTAGTCACTCCCTCCCAAGCCTTACCAATAAGGTTTATGAGAATACTAAAGTGATCTTTCCAAATGTCTCTTAGGGTCAATTGAGTGTCTGAGGTCACTTCAAAGCACTTTTGAAACACTGCTTTGGTGTACAGTTTTTTGAAATTTGAAATGACCTGCTGGTCCATGGGCTGGAGGAGAGGAGTGGTGTTAGGAGGCAAGAACTTGACTTTGATAAAACTCAAGTCCCCTGCAATTTGCTCTGGCAAGTCTGAAGGATGAGCAGGAGCACTGTCTAATACCAGGAGGCACTTGAGGTCCAATTTATTTTCCAGGAGGTAATTTTTCACAGTAGGCCAAACACATGATAAAACTAATCATAGAAAATGTCCCTAGTGACCCATGCCTTACTGTTTGCCCTCCACATCACACACAAATTAGCCTTGATGACACTGTTTTTCTTGAACACTCTGGGAGCTTCAAAGTGATACACGAGCAGAGGCTTCACTTTGCAATCCCCACTAGCATCACTACAAAACATTAGTTACCCTGTCTCTCATAGGCTTGTGTCTTGGCAGTGCTTTTTCCTCCTGTGTAATTTAGGTCCTGTTTGGCATTTTCTTCCAAAACAGGCCTGTTTCATCACAATTAAACACTTGTTGGGGTTTTAATTTTTCGGTGTCTATGTACTCTCTGAATTCCTGCATATATTTTTCAGCTGCTTTTTTGTCCGAACTGGCAGCCTTTCCATGCCTTACAACACTGTGTATGCCATTATGATTCTTAAATCTCTCAAACCAATCTTTGCTGGCCTTAAATTCAATAACATCATCACTAGTTGCAGGCATTTTTTAATTAAATTATCATGCAACAGCCTTGCTTTTTCACATATGATTGATTGAGAAATAGTATCTCCTGATATGCCTGCCATCTGATTTACGACCTGCTCGACACACGACCACTTGACTTACGACCGTGTTTTGTATGCCAAATTTCTGGGAAATAAACAACTGTTTGTGTTGTACACAGTGTTTATCCTAAACCTTACAGTATAAAATACAGTAATACAGCATAAAAAGTAAAGTAAAAAATTAAATACCAAAATAAAACAATAAAATAAAGTCATTACAAAAATGTGATGTTGATATTCAGTAGTAAGGTTTGACTTACGTCCATTTTGACTTACGACCGGTTGGTCGGAACCAAGCTCGGTCGTAAGTCAGATGGTACCTGTATTTGTTTTTCGTTTATCCACAACAACAACAGTCTCTCAACATCTTCGAGTATTTGCGATCTCTGTTTCGAAAACATACTTGCACCTTTCGCAACAACAGCTTCCCTGATCGCCTTTCTGTTGGCCAAGATAGTAGCGATGGTTGATTGGGGTTTGTTATACAACCTGGCCAGCTCAGAGGCACGCACTCCACTTTCATACTTTGTAATTATCTCTTTCAATTCAATTGTAATTCTCACTCTTTTTACCACAGAGTTGGCACTAGAAGCTTTCTTTGGGCCCATGGTGGCTTATTTAGCAGTTACAAGCACTAAAAACACTGGAATAATACAAAATATACCGAATGTAAGCATGAAACCGACTGCACTGGCTTGTAAACAATGGCACACTAACTGAAGGCAGGGCAGTTGAGGCGCGCTCAGGCCAGACGGACTGCGTGGACGCGTTCAGGATGAATGTTGTTAGTTGAGTTTTTCATCATTGGTCGGGCCAAAATTTTTATGCTCAAACACATCGTTTGGCGATTCTATCATTAGACGATGCCATCATTGGTCGAGGATCCACTGTACATACACATGTAGGGTATGTATAAACCTGCATACATACATTCAAAGAATATACATATCCATATGCTCCTGTACCCGCATGAGCATAATAATAATAATAATAATAATAATAATAATAATACACCTACCATCCGACTTGCGACCTGCTCGACGTATGACCACTCAACTTATGACCGTGTTTTTTATGCCAAATTTCTGGGAAATAAACAACTGTTTGTGTTGTGCGCAGTGTTTATCCTAAACTTTATGGTATAAAATACAGTATTAACAGCATAAAAAGTAAAATAAAAAAAGAAGTACCAAAATAAAGCAATAAAATCAAATCATTACAATAGTGTGATGTTGATATTCAGTAGTAAGGTTCGACTTACGTCCATTTTGACTTACGACCGTTTGGTCGGAATCAAACTTGGTCGTAAGTCGGATGGTACTTGTATAATAATATCTTTATTTACTACAAGTATATGTACATGGTATACAGGCCTAGCTGATATCAATGACATATTACTATATAGAAAGCCCCTTGTTATGCAGAGCATTCTGGGCAAATTAGGTCAGTTTTGTTCCAGGGTGCAACCCACACCAGTTGACTAACACCAGGTGCCCATTTTACTGATGGTTGAACATAGACAACCAGTGTAAGGAAACATGTCCGATGTTTCCACCCCTTCGCTGGGAATTGAACTCGGACCCTTGCCATGTGAAGCGAGAGCTTCTGCCACCAGGCCACGGGGCACCGTATATATGCATACTTTTGTTCACATGAACATTCATACAGATACACACACATACACTGAAGAATGAACATGCCGAGGCATGTCTTCCAGCTACTTTTTTTTTTGTTTGTTTTTTGCAGACTACCTAGGTGGAAGATGTGCCATTAGTGCAAGCAACAGCTTTTCCAGGGCACTGACTCCATGAAACACTGGAGTAGCCACACTGCCATCTCAGGAGAAGACGGCAGTGCTTGTTGCCCGCAGAATGTCAGTGAGAAGTGACACCCCAGTAGATAGTGGACTAGAGGGCGCTGAACAAGGTTCTGCTAGTGCTGATACATCTCCTCCTTTACCTTGTCGACCATCATCTCACTTGTAGAAAAGCCCAAACATAGATGATTCATGGCGGTGCCCTGTACACTGGTCCAGCTCTATTCTGTGGAGGGTGTTTTGCCTGTATCGCTTCCTGGTACCACTGGTAAGATGGGGTGCCACCTAAGACCTCTCCTGTATGATTCATGGTTCTGGTGCCATAGTTTGATCTGGCGCAGGCTGATGGAGATGGTAATCCCCATATGGGGATGATCTGTGGCTGCCTTAATTAACTGCATCATCTGCAGTTTCATTTACCCATATGCCAGTATGGCTGCAGAATCAGTTTAATATCACTCTCCTACCCTGAGCCTTTAGAACTGTCATTATGCTTAGGATCGAGGTGATGAGGTGGACACTGTCTCGTGGCTGTGAGTGGGAGATGGCATGGTTTGCAGAGGTGGAGTCAACATGTATGACAGGTTGAAGTCGATGTTGTAAAGCATGTGACAACGCCTACTGAATCGCCACTAAATAGGCTTAAAGGATCATACAGTGGTCAAGGAGTCACCCTGCCTGTGTGTACCCACTGTGGTACAGGCTAGATTGCTGCTCTCTTCTTGTTAGGATCAACAGAGCCATCCATGAAATATACAGCACATGTATGGTCCTCTGTCATTGCCATACTTGTCTCGGCATGGCTGCTGAGGGTGTCTTGACTGCAAAGACTCTTTAGAGTCAGCCAGATCTAGACACCAGGGAGATGGCAAATGGTACACAGCAACAGGCAGGTCACAGCTCTTCAGTGAGTAGTTGTTAAGTAGTAGCTTGCATCCAGCTGTAGAAAATGAACGAATCCAATAGTCAGTGAAGAGAGTGGGATCTTGTGCCATGGTTGCCAAGACCTTACTGCTGAAGAAGCAGGTAAGTTCACCCATAGCACAGGTTTACAAGGAGCTCACAGAGGAACAAAAAGAAATGAGCATGACAGATGGTCTTCCAGCTCATGATAAGAAAAAACAGTTATAAGACAGAAGATAGGAAAGGTGAAGGAAATACAGAAGACTTTTCTTTCAATTACTAGTACTTCCACCCCTCTTTCTCCTGATCTGTCTTCTGGTCTTATTTGCCCTTTCTCACTGAGCTATAACTTGATAATGGACCAGGAAGGATCAAAACAGTCAAAATTTCAAAAGTGTGGGTTATAAGTTAAAAATTGCATTATAATGATTTATTTCTTTAATATTTTTGGTGTAAATTTACTAAATACCTCTCTGAGTTTTAATTACCGATACAGTCCAGAATCATAGCATTTTTATGCATGAATTTTAAAGTGCATAAATAACCCTCATATATAGCTTTTGTTTTATCTTTAAGATGTATGATGCTAAAATTTCAGTTGAAAAATTCACATATAATGCAGTCATTATTCATGTAATATGTAACCAGCATAACTAGTAATTACCTAAATTATATACACTGGTCAATAATACAAACAAATCCACAGTGAGAAAACATCAGAGAAGATAAAATAAACACAGAATATTTGATCTTCCACTTGAGGTCCTTTTCAGTCTGTTGATAAGGGACTTTATCTTAGCATGAAATATAGAGCACTCTATCTTCCATAGCTTAAATCTTGCCTGAAAGAATTTTCATGCAAGTGATAAACACTATTATAATTGTAAAGAATCCATATAACCTCCAAGCTTAGAGAATGAAGATGTTTGTATGCGTCTCACAACCTCAATACGCACTTCTTTCTTTTTCAGTATAGTCATTTACAATATAACCTGGAAACTGTGAGACTCACCTGAACAAGAGCGCATCCTTCTCCCGTCAAGCCAAACACAACATGAGCTGGAATTTTTGGTAGATTCGCTGTTTGTTGAAGTAACTTGTTAGACTCATCAATGTGGAAGTCATGCTCCAGGGCTTCAGCTTCAACTGTTATAACCAAATTTACATTGCCTTGATTTTGGTGACTTTCAAAACTGGCCAGAGCTTGCAAAGCAACAACTGTGTCCTGAGGATAGCACAAAAATATAGCAATATTTAAATATTTACAATTAGATCAAATTTACGACTTCGTATTTGTAATTTAACCACTGAACTAAATAAAGCTTATTAATAAATTGCCAAAATATAAAAAATAAATAAAAAGTTAGATTATTTTGACATTAAACTGCAAGTAAATGTGCAAGCAACATATTTTTGCATAAAGGCAAGCAGAGGAACTGAGCTGTGTTACAAAGATTTCATTCCTAAAGTCTGCATTAAATGAAAGAATGAGTGGTAAGCTAAGTTCAGTTAAAACTTCAGGTTTTGCCAGCAATTTGCATGAAATAAATGGCCAAGGCCATTACAACTGGGAATATAGATTCTTGACTGGGAGAACAGAACAAACCAGATTTAATGATTCTGCACTCGATTAGCTTTTTGAAGACACTGGCGGTGAAAGATCAAAACTTTGGGCTCTTGATCCAAACAATTGGAATTTACCCTTATTTTCATTGTATCGAATCTGATGCCTTTCATTCCCCAAGGTGCTGCATGACTATGACTATGATGCTCTTCACACCAACTCCAAGGCTGAGGGACTGATTACCTCATTTTTTGTATATAGTTCTACTGTCTTCAAATTATGTCCGAGAATTTGTATTGATAAAACCACTGGATGGCAAAACGTCTACATTAAGGATATCCAGATGTTGCATATGTGTCTAATTTTCATCAATGTAGCTGCTACACTCTCTACATTGCTTCTCGTACTATGGTAGTTACATGTACTGTAACGTTTCGAGAAAACATATTATAAAATTTAATATTATTTTTTACAAGAATTCCTTTTAAGATTCTGAACAGAAATTTATATTTGAAGTAATAATATTAGAACTGTTCATGTTATTACAACTTACCTGTGTCGAGATGAAACCTCCCTGACCATTTCTCTTAGAAGAAAGAAATTTGACAATTTTTACAGCTTGGTTTTGGAAACGTGTTGCATTTAGAGTCATCATGGCTAGGAGTGTATAACCAGCAGTTTCGATTTCCACACCCTCACTCTTACCTTTCATAGAGAAAAAATAAAACAAAATTATTTTATTTTAACATGGTAAAGTTAAAATCTAAGTAAATGGATTATGGCTTTTATAAAGGTTAATGAACAGAATTTTTGAAATTTACCTTTGCAGATAGTGAAGGTTACAGCATGATTACCACAGTGATCATCAAGCAGGGTGAGGGAGGTTTTTCCATGGAACTTTATGTGAGACACATGTCGTCCTGATACCTTTACTCCAAGCATACCTCAGGGATAATTTCAAATCCCTAGTCATCACAGTAAAAAATAAAACATTAACAGCATTACTTCTTTCAGCTGTATCCCACGAGGCAGGGTGGCCCAAAAGGAAAAACTAAAGTTTCTTCTTTTAAATTTAGTAATATATACAGGAGAAGGGTTACTAGCCCCTTGCTCCCGGTATTTTACTCGCCTCTTACGACACGCATGGCTGATGGAAGAATTCTGTTCCACTTCCCCATGGATTAACAGCATTACTATTGAGTCTAATTTATTTCAGGTATTCAGCTATTGATATGGAGGGCATGTCCTGTGCTGAGCCACAATTCTCAGGAGGAACTGCTTCTGGGATTCATCCTTGGTGATGGATGAGTTGAATTGTGAAATCAGAGTAGTATTCCTTTTAGTGCTGTCACTCCCAACCTTCAACGATGCGATGGAAGCCATGAAACTTTGGTAGGTTTCATCTTCATTCTAAGAAGAAGGTAGCCTGGCAAGAAAGGAATCATACCACTGGGTCTAGCTGTCATGAAGTCATAGAGTAGGTCTTGAGAGGAGACTCTCTTGCTATTAAGCCTAATCACTGTCTCTTCACCATTACAACCCTCTCCTCAGCACCTACCACAGGTGGTATTGAGGGAGAACTGCTCTTAGAAAAAGATCTTCAGTGAAAAAATGGCCTTTGCAATCAATATGGTTTTATGGAAGGCTCCTATTGCCCTGATTCACTTTCTTCACTGTTCCAAGGTTCGTAGGTTCTTCAAACCTACGAACCTTGGAACAAGGTATGCAGTGCCTTACCATTCTCACCACACTGGACCAATACCTTGGCGTCCAGCTTGCGCTAGACGATTGATCCAAGGCAGTGTTTGTGTATATTTCGCCTGCTCTTGCATTGTTAAAATCTTTAGTAAGGCTGATGCATGCATGGGATGAGATGAAAAGCTGTAAGCCTTCTCCCTGAAAGCTGGCTGCCTTGGATCAAACGTCTAGTGCAAGCTGGACGCCAAGGTATTGGTCCAGTGTGGTGAGAATGGTAAGGCACTGCGTACCTTGTTCCAAGGCTCGTAGGTTCGAGTCTCCTTCAGCCAGAGATCAGTGTTTGTGTATATTTCGCTGCTCTTGCGAATGCCTTGCATTGTTAAAATCTCTAGTAAGGCTGATGCATGCAGGGGATGAGATGAAAAGCTGTAAGCCTTCTCCCTGAAAGCTGGCTGCCTTGGATCAAACGTCTAGCGCAAAGTGGACGCCAAGGTATTGGTCCAGTGTGGTGAGAATGGTAAGGCACTGCGTACTTTGTTCAATTATATATATATATATATATATATATTAAAATAAAATTATATATTATTTATTATTATATATATATATATTTATATATATACACACCCACCCTCCGATTACGATGCTCAACTTAGACCCCTCGACTTATGACCGTGTTTTTTATGCCAAATATTGGGGGAAAAAAAACAACTATTTGTGTGTACACAGTGTTTTCCCAAACCCTTTCAGTATAAAAAACGTATAACAGCATAAAAAGTAAAGAAAACATGAAAAACCAAAAAAAAACAAAAAAAAATCATTACAAAAATGTTTTGTTGATTTTTTTTTTTTTAGTGTAAAGTTGACTTACGACCCTTTCGACTACGACCGGTTTTTGGGGAAACCCAACTCGGGCTAAGTGGATGGAAAAGGGGTATATATAAACCCCACCCTTGATTTGCCTGCTCGATTACGACCACCGACTTACCCAAAAGGTTTTTTTGAAATTTCTGGGGAAAAAAACAATTTTGTGTTGTAAAAAGAGTTTATCCTAACCTTCAGTATAAAATACGACTAACAACATAAAAAGTAAAATAAAACTGAAAAACCAAAAAAAAAACAATAAATAGTCATTACAAAAATGTTTTGTTTATATTCAGTAGTTAAAATCAATTACGCCATTTTGACTTTGCCCCCATTACGACCCGGTTTTTGGAACCAAACTTGTTGTAAGTCAGTGGCAGGTGTGGCGTGTTGTTGTGTGTGTGTGTGTGTGTTATATTTATAATTATATAATTTTTAAAATTTTATTATTCACACCCCACCTACCATCCGTTACGTTATTTAATTTTAAAACTTTTATTATTTTTTTTATATATATATATATTTTATATAATATAATTTTTAATAATATATATATTTTTATTTTTAAATCGTAAGTCGGAGGGTAGGTGTATGTGTGATTTTTTTTTTTTTTCAAAAAGTCGGCGTCTCCCCGAGGGAGGGTGACCCAAAAAAAAAAAGAAAATCCCCCAAAAAAAAAATACTTTATCATTCAAAAATTTCCCCCATACACTTTCACTGTTTTTGCAGAGGTGTCAGAATACAAAGTTTAAAAGCATAAAATATAAAGATACACAACATATCCTCCAAACTGCAAATACCCAAAAACCCCCCTTTAAGTGGGCATTGTACTTCCCTTTTCCAGGACTCAAGTCCGATATATGAAAATAACATTTCTCTGAATCCCTTCACTAAATATTACCCTGTCACACCCCAAAATTCGTCGGGGTCCCAAGTACATTCGTCTCCATTCACTCCTACAGCTATGCACGTTTTGCGGGGAAGTCCAAGCCCTTGCCCACAACCTGCTTTACCCCCTCTCTCCAACCTTTGGGACGACCCCTCCCCCCGCCTTCCTTCCCCATGATTTATAGTTTCCATGCATTCTATTTGTCCATTCTCTCTAAAGACCAAACCCCCTCAAAAACCCCTTCGCCTCTGACTAATATTTTATTAATCCACCCTTTTCCCAATTTTCCCACACCCCCAAATTTTTCCCAAAATTTTTTTTACACCACAATTGCCCTTAAACAGGACATCTCCACTGCCCAAACCCGTTTCCTAGTGCTGCATTTACCACCCAAACTTCACCCTTAAGAGTGTTGGTAAATAACAAAAAAAGGGACAATACCATGACTTGTAACCCATTTTTTCATCATTCCCCTTTTTTGCCTCCCTAGATAACATTTTTTGGGCTCCACATATCCCAATGCACCACTCCCCTTTTTTCCCCCAATTCTTGTTAACTCATCCTTTTATAAATCCATCCCCGACAGTCAACTCCCAAATCGATTTAAAAAAATTATTCTTCCCCTACTCCCCCCCAATTTTTATTCCAATTTTTTTTTTATCTAAAACATTTGATACCTCATCACCTTACTCTTTTCTTGTTCACTTTCAACTTTCTTCCTTTTTCACACATTCCCAAACTATCCACTAAACCCTTTTCAATTTTTCTTTAGAATCTCCCATAAACACAGTATCATCAGCAAAAAGTAACTGTGTCAATTCCCATTTTGAATTTGATTCCACAAAATTTAATTCCACCCCTCTCCCGAACACCCTAGCATTTACTTCCTTCACAACTCCATCTATAAATATATTAAACAACCATGGTGACATTACACATCCCTGTCTAAGACCTACTTTTACCGGAAAATAGTCTCCCTCTCTTCTACACACCCTAACCTGAGCCTCACTATCCTAATAAAAACTCTTCACAGCATTTAATAACTTACCACCTATTCCATATACTTGCAACATCTGCCACATTGCTCCTCTATCCACTCTATCATATGCTTTTTCTAAATCCATAAATGCAATAAAAACTTCCCTACCTATATGTAAATACTGTTCACATATATGCCTCAATGTGAACACTTGATCTACACATCCCCTACCCACTCTGAAACCTCCTTGCTCATCCGCAATCCTACATTCTGTCTTACCTCTAATTCTTTCAATTATAACCCTACCATACACTTTTCCTGGTATACTCAGTAAACTTATTCCTCTATAATTTTTACAGTCTCTTTTGTCCCCTTTCCCTTTATATAAGGGGACTATACTTGCTCTCTGCCAATCCCTAGGTACCTTCCCCTCTTTCATACATTTATTAAACAAAAGTACCAACCACTCCAACACTGTATCCTCCCCTGCTTTTAACATTTCTGCATGATCCCATCAGTTCCAGCTGCTTTACCCACTTTCATTCTACATAATGCCTCACATACCTCCCCCACACTTACATTCTGCTCTTCTTCACTCCTAAAAGATGGTATACCTCCCTGACCAGTGCATGAAATTACTGCCTCTCTTTCTTCCTCAACATTTAAAAGTTCCTCAAAATATTCTTGCCATCTACCTAATACCTCCATCTCCCCATCTACTAACTCCCCTACTCTGTTTTTAACTGACAAATCCATACTTTCCCTAGGCTTTCTTAACTTGTTTAACTCACTCCAAAATTTTTTTATTTTCATTAAAATTTCTTGACAGTGCCTCTCCCACTCTCTCATCTGCTCTCCTTTTGCACTCTCTCACTACTCTCTTTACCTTTCTTTTACTCTCCATATACTCTGCTCTTCTTATAACACTTCTACTTTGTAAAAACCTCTCATAACCTACCTTTTTCTCTTTTATCACACCCTTTTACTTCATCATTCCACCAAACACTCCTCTTTCCTCCTGCCCCCACCCTCCTATAACCACAAACTTCTGCCCCACATTCTAATACTGCATTTTTAAAAACTATTCCAACCCTCTTCAACCCCCCACTACTCATCTTTGCACTAGCCCACATTTCTGCCAATAGTCGCTTATATCTCGCCCGAAACTTCTCCTCCCTTAGTTTATACACTTTCACCTCCCTCTTACTTGTTGTTGCCACCTTCCTCTTTTCCCATCTACCTCTTACTCTAACTGTAGCTACAACTAAATAATGA